TTTACAAATGGAATGTGGAGATTCTGTGATTTGTAAATGAGGTAGGTAACTTCTTTGTATTGAAACAGGAAGTGAAATGTTTTAACCTTGTGGTGGAAAGAATACCATTTCTGTTTTTCTCTGAGCTCCTAGATCCTGGGGAATTACAGTATTGAGTTGGATGTTATGAGTAATTTAGTTGGATAACTGAGTTAAGTAGCAGAAGAACCTGAGCATCATTGAAAAGCCATCATTATTTGATGGCAAAAGAAAAGAACCATGCTAGGTAGCTTCTCTCTTCCCATATATATGCGTAATATTAATAACCTTGGTGAATACCCATTTATAGTAATTAGCATTATATTGGTAGGGATTGATATCATCCTGTTAACATTACCCGCTACAAATCTCATTCTAAAGAAGAGCAAATTAACCTATTCAACCTATTTAACCTATTTCTACTGTGGTATGGAGGGGAGACAGGATTTATGGTAAAATATTCTTTGTGAATACGCCTTTTTCATAGTTGTACCCCTCTCCCACAAATATGTGTCTAATCTGTTCTGCATCAGTAGTCTCAAAAGAGGGATGTAGTGGGGCGCCTGGGTGGCTCAGTGGGTTAAACGTCTGCCTTCAGCTCAGGTCATGATCCTGGGGTCCTGGGATTGAGTCCCACTCAGCCAGCAGGGAGCCCCTCCTCTCCTTCTCCCTCTGTCTGCTTCTCTGCCTACTTGTGCACTCTCTCTCTAATAAATAAATAAAAATATAAAAAAAAGAGGGGCATAGGCAGTGGCATTGCCACTTGGGCTTGAGAATATTCTGCTCATATTTAAGTTGCTTTTCTGTACTTTTGCTGAATCCCTCCAACTACGTTTCTCTGAGAGCTAGTACTATTGACCTGATGGTATTGACTGCCAGTTGGCAGAGAGGATTCACCTAGATTAGGTGGTTACTTCCTGTTCCTGTCTACAGACTTGGAAAAATGGAGAGTTTACTTTCCTCCAAAGGTTTCTTAGAACATAGTGGTACAAAATGTTCACAAGTAGGAAAATGCTTTAAAAAGCTATGTCTGGTTACTCTCAGATAAACATTTCCATTAATATTTCATTTCATTTTGAGCCCCTTTATAGCTTGTAGTAGTTTTTTTTTCAGTGTATGTAGGTGGCTTCAAACCATATGGTAAAAGCATTTTCCAAAAACATTCAATCTTTGTCTTACTATGAACTCTTTTCCAGAGTTCCTTGTCACTAAGCAGCTCCTCTCGACAGGCTCAAATCCCTTTTTTCTACTTTGATCTATCTCTGATTACATAGATCTCATAAGTCCTTTTGAGAACTTATACACATTTTAATAACACATTTGAGGATGAAATTGCCTATTTCTTTCCTCTGTGCATTGTTGCTATTTTTAGGTCATATATATTGAATGTTCCCATAGTCATTGTCCTGTACAAAGTAGTTATCACACACCAGATACAATTTTTTTGTGCTCAGTGATGTTTATTCTGTTTCAGTGTACTTTAATTTTTTTTATTTATTTATGATAGTCACAGAGAGAGAGAGAGAGAGAGAGGCGCACAGATACAGGCAGAGGGAGAAGCAGGCTCCATGCACCGGGAGCCCGACGTGGGATTCGATCCCAGGTCTCCAGGATCGCGCCCTGGGCCAAAGGCAGGCGCCAAACCGCTGCGCCACCCAGGGATCCCTGTTTCAGTGTACTTTAAAATGCTTCTTTTCTCAAGTTCTTTCCCCCATGACATGTTGCTTGTAGGTGTTTTGTTTTTTTCCATTCCATATATGTGTTCTTTAAAAAATTTTTTTCTAAATTCTTTTGTTGAAGAATAATCAACATACAATATTGTATTAGTTTCAGGTGTACAACATAGTAATTCAGTATTTACATACATTTCTGAAATGGCTACCACAATTAGGTCTGGTTACCATCTGTCACCATACTAAGTTGTTACAATATTATGGACTACATTCCCTAAGCTGTCATACATAGCCTTGAATCTCTTAATCCCCTTCACTGACTTGATTCATCCCCCTCCCCTCCCCAGCAACCATCCATTTGTTCTCTGTATCTATGAGTCTGTTTGTGTTTTGTTCGAACACAGAACACATATGTGTTCTTGATAATGTACGCTGGATGAGCATTTGTAAATGAGAAATTAGAGCCCCAGATTGTGAAGGCATAGTTGTATTCTGTCTCCTAAAAGTCTAATCTCTTCCATCTTCAGGCATCTGCTCTACACACAGTGAGGTTGTCAAGTAGCAATCTCTCCCATCTTTGACACAGATATTTCCCCGCAATACCAACCCCCAAAGCGTGTGTTGCCAGGGGCAGGTAAAGAACAGGGAGAGTGTAGACAACTCTGCATCTGCTTTACCTGTTATGAGGGCTCCTGAGAACAAATGTTCAACAGTTTCTAAGATTCAGAGAATGTTAAATCTGCAAGAGACCACAGCAAGTTATCAAGATTAACATACTACTTTATGTTCTCTGAAAGTGCTATGTTCTTTTACATCCCCATGCCCTTGCTTATTATGGGGTATCTTTTCTCCCAGCCTGCCTGGCAAAATGCAGCTTATCCTCTAGCACTCTAATCCTTGAATTCATCATCCCTTCATCAGTGATAGCAAGCATTATAAGAAACTGTATATCATTTTCCCTACTCTGTGTTTTGAATGGCCTCCAACATATTACATAATATAGCGGTTAATTTGTATTCTTTTTCTATTTACCCTACACGTTTTAAATGTTTGCTTGAATAGGCAGGATTATGGAAGAATGATGTACACATATATTTTAGTGGGATAAATAAGATAACTGAAAGTAAAGCACTTTTTTAAAATTTTTATTTGAGAGAGAGAACAAGTGGTGGGGAGGGACAGCGGGAGGGAGAGAGAGAGAAGCAGACTCCCCGCTGAGCAGGAAGTGTCATGCAGGGCTCTTTCCCAGGACCCTGGGATCATGACCTGAGCTGAAGGCAGATGCTTAACTGATGGAGCCACCCAGGCAATGGAGCCACCCAGGCACCCAGGTAGAGCACTTTTAAATGACTTTCATCTCTAGAGGTTTTGATGGGAAATTAATTCACTCACACTTTTAGGTTTCTCACTCAAGTCACTGAGGAAGAGAATACACTATTTAGTTCCAGGTCATCAAAAAGCCATCATGGTATTTTAAAGACATGTTAGTATATATATGTTATAGTGTGATTCACTTTGTTCTGAATCTGCCAAGAGACATATTATGGAGATAGGATTTTTATCAGTGCTGTTATGGGAGAAGAGTGGCATCTTACTGTCCACAGAATTGTTGCTGACATTGACTCTTCCAAATTACAAAATGAAAAATAAAGAGGTGATTCATCATTAAAGACAGTAGTATTAACACGAGTTATACGTCTAATTCTTGTCTTCCTAATAATTCTTAGTCAAGAGCAATTAGAGAAATGCTCCAAGTGGAGCATCAGTATCTTGTCTCAAGTTATAAGGTGTTTAGGTTCATATGATGTAGAAGCAGAAAACCTCAAATTTTCCTTTTGCTTTTTATCTTCATAATTTTAATGTAGGTCATCCAACACTTGAATACTAACATTGACAATCATTTGACCTTATACTTTAGTCATTTTTTTAATGCATCTGGACATTTGTTTCTTGGAAGAAGGTAACTCTTAGCACTGCTCCTGGTTTGTACACATTATTTATTTGGGAACCTGTCTGTCTTTGTGACCACCTGTCAGAATTTGGCATTATTTAAATGTTTGAGATGGGTGACTGAAGTAGTTGAACAGGATCTTCTCACCCAACTGCTGAGGACTGACTAGAGAGTACTTTAAATACAGAATGTGTTCTCCAACTCAACAGCATATTATTAGAAATACATAACATATGGTATGTCCCCCTAAAATTTAAATTTAAATTTTTAGAAAGCAGAAATGTACTATATTATACCCATAATACTGTGAATACTCACATTAACATGAACCACCCCCAACTCTAGGGTATTTATCTTTTTTACACAATGTGCTAAAATGTGTAAATTAATTTATCTCATACAAACTGACATATAAAGTTGCTTCTAACTAGAATTGTTTCTAGAATCAACCATTAATTGAGGCTGTTACTGGTTTGCTACAGGATCCAAAATACCTACTATGTTAAACTTCATTTAAAACTACAGAACTTTCTTGACGCCATCGTATTTGATGCTTGAGAGATTGTATTTGTTGGCCATACTTTTCCCTAAAAATTATAATAATTTTTGTGGTTTCAGAGTCTTACTTTGTTAATGTTTGCTCTTGCCCTTTACCTTTCCAAACTCTACTTATTTTTCTAGGTCAAGCTGAAGGGAATCAAACCCAATTGAAATTTTCTTATATCCCTGTGGCTTCATTCATGGCATCTTAGACATAGTTTATAGCACTTAATTTCTTTTGCCTGTGTTGGTTAATCATGAACATGCCTGCCTTCTGTACTGGCTCCTAGAGCACTCTGATGATGTTTTAGGCAGTCTTGTATTTCCTGTAGCACCATTCATAATACATAATATTCAGTATTTGTTGAAATTTGGGAGTTTTTTTTTTCTAAACTAGACTTAACAAATCAATCAATAACGTGAAGTTTAAATGAGGACTCAAGCTGTTGGGCCATGCTGGTTATGGCTTTGTCCAGGTTGTAGTTATTATTTCATTATATATTAACTGTGGGACTGCCTCATCTGTAAAATAGGAATGTTTGTAATAGAATTACTCAGCCTCTTAGGGTTGTTGATGAGGATTAATATAATTTGTTTAAAACATTTATCGTGCTGCCTAACATATAGAATACACTCAGTACATTCCAGAAATAATTATTGTTAAATGCAGTCCCATTGGGCTAGACCCAGCCCCTTGGGGGGCCTGTCATGTAGTCCTTTATGTCTCAGGTACCTAACCATGCATATGATAATTATTCAATAAATAACTGTCTTGAGTTGAATTGATGGATTGACCTTATTTTTATCTCCCGTTACAGCCCACTGTTTGTAACATGGAAGATTGGTCGAGACAAAAGATTGCGTGGATGCATAGGTACTTTTTCTGCCATGAACTTGCATTCAGGACTCAGGGAGTACACACTTACCAGGTGAAGACAATTTTTGTTACCTCTGCTTCTACGTTAAAAGAAAAAAAAACTTATGAAACTTGAACCTGATACTTTAACTCCTTTGCTTTACTAAATTGTTAACATTCTTGACTCCTTTCACATCAGATTTTTCCTTCTCTTCAACATTTGCCTTATCCCTGGTAAAATTTTATTGCCACATTTTATCAAAATATAAAATACTGTGATTACATTGTATTTTGCCATAAATGTTTTAAAGTGTTTTCTTTCAAAGGCCAGCTTATTTTGTATAACTTGAAAATGGATGCCCAAAAGTCAATGGCTTACCACAATGTATTATTTCCTTAATAACACTGTGTCTTCTCTGTTAGGCTTTGTAAGAATTGTTGATGTCATCTTACATGTATTGTTACACTTTTATGTACTCCTGCAATGGAGGGGAGAGCCTAGGAGGAAAGGGATGCCACAGCCTGGCAGTGTTATCATTCACATTCACACTTTACCCAGAATTAATTGTAGCTTACTTATTTTGTTTCGTCTAACACAAGGACAAAGTAATGAATGCCTCATTGCAGTTGTTAAGGCTTTGTTTTTAATTTCCAAACGCACAAAAAGCTATCGAGTATGCCATCTGATTTTTTTTTTGGTTCAAGTTTAGATTTCTAGCAAATTATGTTCCAGAATTATTTCAAAAGAAGAAAATTCCTTAAATAATAAGCTATTAGTAAAGGAATTTCCTGTTTTTGTTCATATTTCAGGGTGATTATCTGATACAATTTCTATAGTTGTAATATGCACAAGTATCTGTCCAACAACAAATTGGTCCCTGCTGACTGTTGGTACTTGGGGCACGTTGCTTAACCTCCAACAGATAAAGTAGTAATTACAGGGTTTTGTTCTATATACTTAGTAGGGATGTTAGGGAGGTGTTAGGGGAATGAAATAATATCCAGTCACTACTTTGCTTCTGGAGTAACATTGCAGAACATTCATTATTTTATTATAGGATTGTATAAATGCAGCTTGTGGTAGCAGTTAATAAAATACTGGTAACTGAGTTTAGTATTCTTTTTTTTTGAGTTTAGTATTCTTATAGTTGAAGGTACAGCTCACAACTACAGGGTTTTCTTAGCTTACAGTGAAACTGGAAAGAAAAGCAAAGGCTTGGAGGGTCACCTTCACTTTTTATATTTGCACAGGCATTAGAATTGAGTGTTTGGACTTGATTAAGAACATACAGGCAGTAAAAAGATCAAAACACGAATTCTAGAAATGACTTGAACTTGCCAAAGATAGCGTAAATGCTAGTCTAAGCAAGTTAGATTTTTTTTCCTGACATGAAATACCATGGACTCATTTTGGGACTTTAGCAAATTCTGCCAGAGACTACCTCTTTGGGACAAGTACATACAAAATTACTTTTTAAATAGATAATCAAAGGCAATTTATTACACATTTCCTAAAATAAGTTATTTGAGGAACACTGGCTCCTTGGTTATTGCTTGGAAAAAAAGGATTCTATAGCCAAATAAATTTGGGGAACACTGGTTAAGCAAATTTAAGCAGCTGTGCTCACTGCAGGACTTCTCAGAACCTTTTACGTCAATAGTGTTGTGAGTCTCTAAGAGTGGGATCTAGAATGCAGCATTTCCCAATTCAACTCTTTTGACCACAGAACCCTTTTATCCTCCCACTCCATTCATTGTCTTAGGCCATTAGTATCCCAAGGAATACATTTTTAGAAATATAAGTCTGTCATAAAATTTCCATTTTTCTTTATAGTTGAAAAGTCCAAGTGGATAGTACAGAAACCCTTTGTACTTTCTAATGAAATTGTGGCAGAAATCCCAGTATCAAATGTTATATACTTTAGAAATCTGTAGTAGTAGTGACTGTAGTAAGAGTTTGTTTTGTTTAAAGAAAAGATGAAATCTTTACCTACACTGATAAGAAGGAATGAAAATATTCAACTTTTCCAGACTTGTGGATCTGTCTCCTAGGGGTATTACCAGAAGAATTTTAGTATTTTTCTGACAATAATGTGACTCTGAATGAAACATTCAAATAGCTCAACTTGGAAATTTGCCTGCATTTGTATATATGGTTACCTTCATTGTAATCTATGGTCTTCCTGTTTATTTTTCAACTTTCTTCTCATGTTTTTATACAACTTCCTGAAATGGTGTATGGCACAGTAGATATGTGTGTTCATGTGTGTGTATACACATGTACATACCTTGTCTTTTTTTAAGATTTTATTTATTTATTCATGAGAGAGAGAGAGAGGCAGAGACACAGGCAGAGGGAGAAGCAGGCTCCATGCAGGGAGCCCAACGTGGGACTCGATCCTGCGACTCCAGGATCACACCCTGGGCCGAAGGCAGGAGCTAAACTGCTGAGCCACCCAGGGATCCCCCTTGTCTTTTTGCTTCTGTTTGGCTTAATTCCTTTTGCTTATATAGCAATAAGAATGTAGTTATTTGGAAGAGATGAACAAAAGAAAACACATCTTACAATATACAATTGCTCTTTTTTTTCTAGATTCAGCTTAGAGTTAAAACTGTGGAGTCATCTTTAAAAAAGTTGCAGCATAATATCTTTCAGCTAAATAGGGGGCACTTATCATTTCTACAAGGTGCTGTTGATGGTATTATTGATAGCTGTCATTTATTAAAACGTGCAAAGTAAAAACTTTGTTGAAACTTCAGAGGAGCTTTATATGCATGCTACTTACAACTCAGGTATTAATGCCACATTTTAAAAATGAGGAAACTGCAGTTTACAGAATTTAAATAATTTATCCACTTACACATCTAGTAAGTGGTAGAACCAGGATTCAAACCTAGGCCATCTGACTATAAAGTCCAAGCTCTTAATTACGACATTCAAGATAAGACAATGTAAGTTTTTCTGAGAAATTATGTTTTGCAGATTTGTTGTGAAAATAATGAACTTCAAAGAGAGTTACTATAAATTGTATAAATCATGGACTGATAATTCTTCACAAAATCTAGTTAGGAGTTAAGATTGAAATTTTGGCACGTTATTTAAATTCCAGAAAATCTACAGATAGCATTATGAAAAGTATATAATACAGGGTCGTATAGACTAGTCAGAAGAAAACTGACTTGGATTAGTACTGTACAAAGAGACACTGCTTATTACAAAAATATCCTTCTGTATGTTTTGAAATTGTTTTCTCTGGCCACCCATAAATAATGGACTGGACTTTGAGAAGAATACAATTTTTTTAAAACATGATTGCTGATTATTGAAATTTGTTCTTCAATCTTAAAAGACCATAAACCACAAAATTTACAAATGGAATCAAATGAACATAGAGGTTTAGGGATAAAAGGGAAGGAGAAAGCAAAACAAAAAATAAACTGAAATTAAAGACTCACCAGGTAGAGATGTCTTTTTTAAAAAATTAGAATGTCTGGTTTTTCACTGTCTTCACCCGTGATTAGATAAGACTATTGTTTTTAAAAGGTTACTCAGATATACCCTTTTTTATTGTGAAATATACATAACATGAAATTTTACCATTTTAACCAATTTTAAGTGTATAATTCTTTATATTGATGTGCTGCCATCACTACCATTCATATCCAAAACTTTTTCATCTTTCCTAACTGAAAGTCTGTACCCACTAAACTCCCTATTGTTCCCGGCCCCAGCCCCTGGCAACTATCATTCTACTTACTGTCTCTGAATAGAACTCTTCTACATACCTTATATAAGTGAAATTGTATAGTATTTGTCCTTTTGTTATAGTCTTATTTGGTTTAGCATAATTCAAGGTTCACCCATGTTGTAGCAGGTGTTAGAATATCCTTCTCTTTTAAAAGGCTGAGGAATATCTCATTGTGTATATCTAGCACATTTTGTTTATCCATTCATCTGTGGACATTTGGGTGACTTCAACCTTTTGGCTATTACAAATAATGATGCTGTGTACATGGGCATACACATATCTGGTTGAGGACCCTTTTTTTAAATTTTTATTTATTTATGATAGTCACAGAGAGAGAGAGAGGGAGGCAGAGACACAGGCAGAGAGAGAAGCAGGCTCCATGCACCGGGAGCCCGATGTGGGATTCGATCCCGGGTCTCCAGGATCGCGCCCTGGGCCAAAGGCAGGCGCCAAACCGCTGCGCCACCCAGGGATCCTGAGGACCTTTTTTTTTTTTTTTTAAAAAAAAAAAAGCTAACCATTTTATAGAAGACAATGATCTAGTTTGTTTATGGTCCCTTGATCTCTAAAACCTAAATCTAAAATTGGCCAGGTCCTTTTTAAATGAAATGTCTATCATAGATTAAGTTAATTTATAAACATACAGTTTTAAAGTTAAAACACTTGTCATAGTCAAGTTATGTTCTCCTAATTGAAACTTTTAGACTGAACTGAAACCTTATAAATAGGCTGATTTCCTCCCAATTGTAAAAATGCATAATTTCTGTGTAGATAGCAGAAAGACTGTGAGAATTATAATGTAGAACTATGAGATAGACTATTCCTTCCTTGTCCTTGGAGACTCTGGGTAAAAGCAGAAAAGCTTAGAGCAAATAAGAAGCAGGATGGAGAGCTCAGAATTATTTATAGAAGTTATCCATGGTGACATGTTCAGGTCCACAAATTACTATATTTATTAGTGGTCAGAGATTCAAAGTAGAAATATTCTTTGTCCCCGGTGAAGAACAATGTCTAGTATTTGCCAAGTTACTTGCATTTATGGCCATTACATGTAAGAAAGCTGAGGCAAACTTATTTCCTTTCTTTTAGTACTTAGAGCATATACTTTTATAGGAAGAGAATCACAACTAACATAGATGAACACAAACATGTCAGACAAAGATTCCTTAAAATTTTGGCCAATATGTTGCCCAGCAAAGCATAGGTCTGATTCCTTATATAAATTCAAGTTGGTGGCAATTCTTCTGGAACATATAAGTGAATAATAGAGATGTTCTTATTTTGTAAAACAGAAATGTGGCCTGTCATCAAACTTAAAAGACTA